GGTGGGCCCCCAGAGGCTGCGGGAAGCTGCTTCACCAGGAGCATCCTCCTGGTTGCTGTGGGGACCGCAGGGGCTGCCACGCCCCTGGCCCCCCTGGGGCTAATTAGGGGTGCTGGCAGAGAGGGCTGGCAAGGGGGGGGTTGCTGGCTGAGCTCTAGCTCCATCTCTCCTCCAGTGGAGAGGCCACCATGTGCCATGGGCAGCTCTGCCGGGGCTTGGCTAATGGCACGGCTGGCAGGAGGCCAGGCTGCTGGCCCAGGGCTTGCTGGGCTACCGAGACACCTGCCCACAGCTCCCAGGCCAGGTACCTGCCCCTGCCCCGGCCTGCTCCTTGCCTGTGACACTGGGGTCCCCAGATATGCCAAGGTGCCCCCTGGGGCCCATGGACCCCCAGTGTCCCTCTGTTGGGGGGGAAGGCACCCGCAGCCCCGGGCAGCTCATTAGCGATGCTCCCTCCTCCCGCCCGGTCCCTGCGGAGCGGGCAGCGAGTGCAGGAGGCTCTAATGGCTCCGGGCGGCTCCTGATGGGCCGCGATGGAGGCGGGGGCAGGAGGGGCTGCGGTTTCTGCCTCCGCCACAGCCAGAGCTGCCTCTGCCCAGGGTCGGCCGGGAAGATGCTGGATGGGCTCCTGCTCTGGCTGCTCCTCTTCACAGCTCTGTGCCCTGGGCTCCTTGTGACAGGTACAGTCCCCCTCCTGCTTCTCCTGCCCCTGGACCCATCCTCCCCATCCCTCTGGGGCTGGGTCCCTTGTGGGCTGCTCCCAGGCTGGGGGTCCTTGCTGGGGAGCAGAAATCCACACTGGGGATGATGTCCTTGGAGGGGCCAGACAGGTCCCAATGCAGCACATCTGTGGAGTGCAAAGTGCTGTTCCTGGGGGGGTGGGGATGGGGAGATGGCTCTGCATGGCGCTTTGGGGCTGGCTCAGTGCCTCTCCCTCCCCATCACACTCCCTGCCTGGGTTTGCCCTTGCCAGGGCGGTAGGGAGCACTGGAGGTCACAGCACGCATGGGGCCATGGCCACCAGCAGGCAGAGTCTTTGGGGCCATGCTCAGCTGGTGCTGCCTGCTTGGCAGGAGCCCACCAAGGCGTCCATGCTGGGGGCTGAGCCCACCCCCAGGGCTGAGCCAGGGGCTCCTGTGCTGCAGCGGTGAGACCCCCTGGGTCCAGCCTGTGGGAG